CAACGGAGGTCGGACCAAAGCAGGGTTGTCAGAAGGCAGGTGAGTGGAAAAAACGGATGAAGATATGCCTTTGCTGTTTCTCCTGCCTTTTGAGTTTCCTTTTCTTCCCGTGGGGGCTCTGCTTCTTCACCAACTGACCCCCATCCCTCACTTTCTCTGTTCTCGTGCCTCGCTTCACCGTGCGGGTGCCGAGACGCTGCCGCAGGTGAGTGTGGGCGGAGCGGGAGAGAGGGATCAGTTATGCGCAGAAGAAAGAAATCATCAGAAGGAACATGAAAAAAAAAATTATATATATAAGGCAAAACAACGAAGCGTGACAGTGTCTCCGCCGGCAGAGAGGTGTCGGGGTGGGGGGAGAAGGGAGAAGGTGCGGCTCTTCTTAATACACTCGCTCGTTCTTTCTCCCGCTCGTTGTCTCACGCTCCTCGTCTGCCTTCTGTCTCTCTTGTGCACTGGGCGAGTGTGTGTGTGTGTCTCTGTGTGTGTCTCCGGGGGGTGAGTGAGCGGGTGGTGGAGTGCGGGGGCGGAGCGTCCGCCTGCTCTCTCGCCCTCACAGACACGCATGCACGCACATACGCACACACACACACGCACACGCTTCTCTCTAACTACCCAATAAACGAAGAGGCATACACAACACAAAAAAAAAGGAGGGAACCGAAGGCAGGGAAAAAGTTGAGGAACATGTGACCAAGAGTCACGAAAAAAAAAAAGAACTGAAATAGGCGTAAAGAAGGAAAGCAAAGAAGAATGAGCATAATCCACAAAAAAAAAGATAACATTTGCTTCAGAATTGCTTTTCATCCACTTTTCCTGTTCCTTGTTTCCGGTTTCGTTTCTCGTTGTTCTTATTCCTTTTCTTTTTTCCACTGTCTTCAATTCTCTGCTGGGGTGCATTGCCGCCTGCCCCCGCACGCTCACCACTCATTGCGTGCTGCGGCATGCATGTGCGCACACACACACACACACGCATAAACGCGGTTATGCAATTTGGTGATTTGACTCGCGCACGAAGTGAGACGAAAGCTCACTGGTGCCACGAACAAAAAAAAAGCACCCCAAGTGAATCGTGGTAAGGACTCTTAAACCCTCACGCCTCCTCCCTCCCCTCCGCTCACGCTACACTCTTGTGCTTGCGTTTGTTCCGATTCTGTCGCCCCTCTCCCATCACTCCTGTAGCTGCGGGAGGGGGGGCTGTGCGCGCGGTGGTGGTGGCGGGCCGGCAGGCGCGGGGGACGGTGCTGAGTGCGTGCTGGAAATAAGTCCAGCTGTGTCTGTGTCTGTGTGTGTGTGTGTGTGTGTGTGTGAAAGAGTGGGGGGGGGAAGGGAGGGGGAAGGAGGACTGCGGGAGTGCGTGTGGGTGTGGAGGTTTGACAGATTGGTGTCGAGGACGCAGGGATGAGGGGTTGGTGTGACAGCGCCGGAAGCAAAACAGATGAGGCAACACAAACAAACAAAAAAGAATACGGTAAAAGAAAAATGAACGAAAAAGAAACAAGACGGGAATTTGGGGAGGAAGGAGGAGACGTGGGATGCCAGAAACGGAGTGAGTCCAGTGGTGGGCGGTGCATTCTACGAAAAGAGAATAGAAACAAAAAAAATAAAAAAAGCATATGTTTGAGAATACAACAAAAAAAGAGAGAAAAGGAAGAAATAGGATACATAACGAAAAAAAATGAACAAATTGAAAATACTCTCCCGCCTTACGGCCGGTGTAATTCAAAAAATCTGTCTGCTGACAGACGTGGGCTTGGGGGGAAGGTGTCCCTGGAAGGGAATGGCTCACCGGCAGGTGGTCGACTGTTGAAATGCTCGGAAGCGCTTTTTTTGTTGTTGTTGTTGTTCTTTCTCCTTTTGCTGTTTCCTTAGTGTGCCGGTTGAGGCGGTCTTTTAAAAGGTCTGTTTAGTTCACTCTGCAGCTGTGGGGCGGGAAAGGATAATTCGGCACGCTGATCGGGCACTGGATCAGAACAAGCCGAGTGCAAAGAACAGAGGTAACGTGTTGTGGGTCTGTTGTATAGTGTTGCTTCATAACCACAGCATGGTGTTTGCGCTTCTTCGTTGGATCGTCACGTCTGTGCTATTTCACGCTGGACTTGCCTATGCCGCATTTGTCGCGTTGCGTCTGCCCCGCAATAGATCAGCGGCAGCGGCAGGTGGCGCTGATAGCGAGGACAGCAGTAACAGTGAGAGCAACGATGCAAGCAACAAAGGCTCTGGGAAGGACCTTCCGTTTAGTTCGCTGAAGCTGTGGCTCATGCTCAGCTTCCTCACGTCGCTTTCCTACGTTGGTGCGGAGCGTATCCCTTTCTTCCTCGAGTCACGTGTACTCTTCACGTGGCTTCTCCTCGTTGTGCCACCCGCCTCGCATGTGAAGGTATACGATAGTGCGTTCGAACCGCTGCTGGGGCGTATTGGAAAGGCTGTATACACTCTGGAGAGCAATCAGCTGCTGGCGCGGAAGGCTGGGCTGAAGATCGTGCGTGGCTGCGTGGAGTTGGGGCTCTGCGTCATCAACTACATTAGACGGTGTGAGGCGCTGGATGCGGATGTCATCGAGGGTATTGAAAGCGGCCTCCTGCACGCTCGTGGCGCCTTACGGGAGGCGGAGTTAGTGCGGACGAGTGATAGCTCTCCCTCATTTTCTCCCACTGCGGCGGTGCTATCCTGCTAAGGGTGTCTGGAGTGGACAAGCGAGCGCGCCTATGTAACAACTAACGTTATCCTCTGTTTCCGCTCAAGTTTCATTTAGATGCGCTTCTGTTTCGTTTCAACTTCATTCTTGTATATATATATATATATATAAAAGGATGCATGAGTTTCTTTGTTGTTGTTGCTTTCTTTTTTTTTTTTGCCGCTACTCTTCTCTTTCTGTTTCTGTTGCTGCTGTTGTTGTTGCTGGCACCGTTACCCCGTGGTGGCTTGAGGGGTGATTGGGTACAAGAAAGTAGGAAGATAGTGTAATGAACCGTCACAAGAAGTTCTATAACGATCTCGAGGATAACCTGGAGGATGACTACTACGACGAGGACGAATATTACGACGATGAGGAGGCTGACTACTACGAGGAGGACGAGCTGCAGTATGTCGTGACAAACGGTGCCGTGCCACAGCAGCAGCAAGAAAAGCAGTCCACCCAGGCGGCTTCCAATGGCGTCAGTTCGGCTTCGGTAGGCAAAACAAAAACGACAAGCGAGCACTTGGCGGAGGATAACGGTGTGCATCCGGAGGACATGGACTACGCGCTCGTCGTCATGCTTCTTCCAGAGTTCCAGCATAAGTGGAAGGAACTTGTCACCGCAGAGAACCCAGGCGCAGAGCTTCTGCCGCGCTGCGCTGTGGATGCCCTCCGTGAGTGCAACTACGACGTGGGGGAGGCAGTTATGTTTGCACTGCGGAAAAGTATCGAGGCGCAGCCGGTGGCTGGGACACCAGCGCCGCCCCCTGCGTTGTCGCCGCAGCCATCAAACTCAAATGAAACCGCAGCCGCAGCGCCGGTTGCGGGAGGGCGCACGCTAAAGCTCGGGCAAAGCAATAAGGCCTCAGAAAACGTGTCGACGAAAGACGGCGAGGCGCCCAAGCCGGTAACTAGCAACGGCGCAGAGGCGGATGCCAAGCTGCAGCGAAAGAAGAACAATACGGTGCGGGAGTTGATGCCGGATCCGAGCAAAAAGGATTGCACAGTTGTGATTGCCGGGCATGTGGATGCTGGCAAGAGCACAACCCTTGGCCACCTGCTGCTTCTGTTGGGGAAGGTTTCACAGGCGGATATAGATAAGAATGAGAGGAATGCTCGTCAGATGAAGAAGGAGTCTTTTAAATATGCCTGGCTGTTGGATCAGTCAGAGGAAGAGCGTCGGCGTGGTGTGACAATTGATGCCGGTTCCTACTGTTTTGAAACGGATCAGCGTCGCATTCACGTTCTGGATGCCCCTGGGCACAAGGACTACGTTCTCAGCATGATCAGCAGCGCAACACAGGCGGATGCGGCCCTCCTTGTAGTGACGGCTGCTACCTCTGAGTTTGAGGTTGGGCTCGCCCACGGTACGAAGGATCACCTTCTTGTCCTCAAGACACTGGGTGTGGGCCACTTGGTGGTAGCTGTTAATAAGATGGATGCTGTAGACTTCAGCCAGGAGCGCTACGACTTTGTGGTGCGCGAGTTAAAATTTTTGCTGAAACAAACGCGCTACAAGGACGATGCGGTCGTTGGCTACTGTCCGGTGAGCGGTATGCGTGGCACGAACATCTCCACTATTGATCACGAGGCGACACCGTGGTACGACGGGCCTTCGCTGGTGCAACTGTTGGACAAGTGTCCGTTGGAGAGTCGATTACTTGACGCGCCGTTGCGGCTGAGCCTGCAAGATGTAGACGGCACCAAACTCTACTGCAAGGTGGAGAGCGGGCATGTTCGAAAAGCGGATAAAGTTGTCTTTGTGCCGTCAGACACCAAAGTGGTAGTGAAGTCGATTGACAAGCCGACAGTGGGTGCTCTGGTGGATGTCGCTTTCGCTGGTGATACGGTGGAGATCGAGACGAGCTCGTCACTGGTAGGGTTGCGGCCAGGCTGCATAGGGTGTAGCAGCAACGCCTTGCTCCGCTGTTCGACGGACTTCCAGGCCCGTGTGCAAACCTTCAACACGCTGCAGAAGTCCATTCTCCCTGGCACCGTGTTCACGATGGTTGTGCATGCTCTTACACTGCAGGTGCAGGTGATTGCGCTGGTGTCCAAAATGGACAAGCAGGGCGCGTGGTCCAAGGGCATGGTGAAGTGCATTCCGAAAGCGACACAGGCGCTTATTGTTTTCCGCGCGCCGTACAAGATTGCACTGGAGGAGGCCGAGGTGTGTCGCGCACTTGGGCGGTTTGTCCTGCAGCAGGACGGCGACACGGTGGCGGGGGGTCTGGTGGAGAGGGTCATGCTGTAAAGTGGAGCAAGGTCCTTTGTTTCAATTGAGCAGTATGACGCGCATCCCCCCCCCCTCCTCTTTTTTGGTTTTGTTCTCTGTCTCTGTCTCTCCCTTCGTTTTGCCACGAATTTATTATCATGCGTTCCTGCCCCGATTTGTGCTCGCACGAATTGCTGCTGACTCCGTTCTCCGTTTCGCTTCCGCCGACTCCTCTTTTGTTTTAAATAACGAGCCAAAAAGAAAAGAACTTTTTCTTTCGTATCGGCAGAGGAGAAAAAGAAGAGGCGGTGAGCGAAGAAAACAACAACGCATGTTTTTTTTCTTCGTTTTGTTGTGTTGTTGTTGTCTATTTGGGATTCTCTTATTGGCGTTTTTGCCGTCTTCTTGATGTTGTTGAGACTTTGGGCTTCTCTCTTCTCTTTTCGTTGGTTTTTTGTTTTTGGTGTTTCCTCGCGGGGGCGCGGCAGTGGAGGGAACGCGCATACTGCCCGCAGGTGGGGGTTGGGGGAGTCAAACACAGCAGCACAAGCAGTGGGATTAGAGAGGGGAGCGGCCAGCAAACGAGGTGTCTGAGAAATGAGCTTCTTGTTTTCGCCATTTTGCGCCTCCGACAGAACGGACACCGGTGTGGAGTACGAGCTCATGCCGGACCCCATCGCCAACGCCGACTACTTGCCTCTGCGCCTCAACCCGAGAGAGCGGAAGGTGCAGCGCCTGATGCGCGGCATCATCATGGCGTCGCACTACACCGACAAGGTTGATAGTGAGGCTGCTCTGAAGAGCAACCGAAGAGATATAATTATTGCCAGGGAGATTACGAATGCCCTTAGTGGATTCATTGTTGCGTTGGACGTGGAAAAAGGAGCGAAACTCCTTCGCAACAAGGACTTTTCGCCGTTTGTGGATGAGATTCAGTCATCAATCGAAACGTGTAGGCGGTACAAGATGATGAATCCCGATTTTCTTCGCACAGACTACGTAAAGTTTCTCTATATGGTTCAAGACGCGGTACAAAATGAAAATGTGCGCAACATATTGGGTTTTTTGGTGGCGGAGGGACTCGTCACGGTGGGAAGCTATTGCCGTTCTTTGGGGATTGAAAGAATGTTGCAGGACAAGCACATGCCCCTTTGTATTACACCGGTGCCTCTCATAAAGAACAGGAACAGACTGAACAAGGCGCTGCGTCATAAGGATGTGACAGTGAATACACTTGTAAAGGAATACAGTAGGATTTCTGGCCGAAGTCCTGACGAGGTGGAAACGGCGATTCGGAGCCTCAATGATGCCAATCACTTTGCTAAAGACAATGTGGAAAGCACTATTCAGCTCTTGCAATTGCTAAAAGAGTTCTTTTCTCCAGATGAGGCAACCTCTTCGACGAATTTAAGCATTGAGGAAGGAGAAAATGGGAGCCGCCTGACCCATAATCATAGGCGTCAGTACTATTTCGTTCTGCAAAGCCTCTCACTCTGGAAAAACATTTGTCATCGCATGTTTTCCCTGTGGACAATTGCCGAAGAAGATATGTTGAATCCCGATGAACCGTATGAGTTTCGGTACACCGGTCAAGGCTATCAACGCGTTCAAAAGGCACCGAACCTCTACCGTGCCATCTATGAGGTTGTGCAACAAACAAAAGAGGAGCTTGGAGATTGGGTGGGTTCAGAGCGTATACACCTCGGTGATGACCAGGTTCCTAACGCTTTCCATTTTATTGATAAATACGCTCAGGTATCACGTATAATCATCCCTATCCTTCGGACCACATCCTACATTGATACACTGGATGAAAGTGCTGACCACAGTGCGTACATGAAGGAGGTATGGGGTGGTGCAGGGAACGCCAAGCGGGCCATTCTGCGCGATTTTTTCCGTCACGGCTTTGATGGCAGTGGAGGGGACAATATGGACGACGCCGGCAGCTGTGTTGACGGTCGGTTGACTAGTGCGTGGAATTGGTGCAATAACATTCGTTTGAAGCCCTTCTATCCATTGTTTCTGTTCGCCGGGTTTAGCTCCTTTGACGGAGATCTTAGTCTTTAGGGAGCCGAGGCACATTTGAACAGCTGGGGGATGCAATGTTATTGTTGTTGTAGATCGATGCTTGAGTTTTTTCCCTACTGGACGCATACGTGGTATCTCTCTCTCTCTTTGTGTGTATTTGATTGTGTACATATGTGTCTGTTAACACTCTAAGGCGATGCGTGTTGTTATTGAATTGAACTATATGGGTCTTAATGACTTACTGGAGGTGTAACTCCTCCTGTGGCATGGTAGATCAAAAGTTTACCTCTTTTGTGTTATTGTTTTCGTTGGTAAGGGATAGCTGCCAGTAGCGGCATGCCCCCCAAGCTCCCGAATTTAAAATACAAACCACGGCGTGTCGTTCGTCCCAAGGACGAGAATGATGAATCACACTCCAGTACTGGTGTAGAGGACCTGAGTCTGGTGCAGTTAGAGCGGCTGCGCCTCCAGCAAGAGGCTGCTCTCCAGCAAGAAACATTAAGTAACAGTGCCACGGCGTCTCTACCTCGAAACATTCACCCTGCAGCAGCTCCACCCACCGATGGCATGCCAGTCCGAAAACCGAATCGTGTGCAGTCCGCACCAGCGGCGGCTAATCGTGCCGCTGCATACTTGCCCGCTGAAGCTGAACGCTTCCCTGCCAATACCATGTGGAAGATACTTGAGATGGTGGAAGAAAACCCCAACATGACTGTTTACCACCCAACACCGCTGGACAGCGCCCTTCCCGCTCGTCTAAGAGCATCAGATGGAGAGGGTCCTGTTGAAGGTGATGATCAGCGTCCTGAGACCACAGGTGAGGAGGAAGGCATTATGTTCCTTAAAGAGTATGATGAAGAGCTGCGTCGGTCAAGACAGGCTAATTTACGTTTCGAACGGGAAATACTCCATGCTTCTGCGAACAAGATTGATGTGGAAACAGTTGTTGGGCGTCACGGTGAAGGAGAGCTTGTATGGCTTCAGTTGCCCCGCTTTCATGCTGATCCGCCCTTTGCGTTGGCACAACTGCCAGCAGGGAAAGTTGGTGAGGTGAAAGTGTACAGGAGTGGCCGTATGGTAATGGAAATTTGCGGTGTGCATTACGATGTTGCTGTTGAGGGGTACACCGCTGGAGATGATGATGCCTGCAATATCGTCACGGCTGTTGCTCCTTCACAGCAGCCGGATGAAAAGGCAAGCTGCTACCAACTTGGACTTTTAGCTAAGAAGATGGTCTGCACCCCTGACATCACCGTGGATAAATGAAGGTCGATGACTCAATTTAATGGGGACTTCGTTATGAACAAATTCATCAGTGATTCCGTTGTGTATGCGTATGTAGGTGTATGTGTGTTTTCATGTGGAACGTGTCTATGCCCTGTTCTTTGTTGCTCGTGTTTTCTCCTGTAATTAGCGTACAGCGTAAACACAGTTTTTACGTATTTTTTTTTTTAAGTGTACGAAATGACTTCATCAGAAACGTCAGGAAAGAAGCAAAAATTCTGGCTCTACGCGTTTCGCGACCACCTTGCGGGTATCCAAGCTTTTCCGAACTGTGTTGATGTCGCCGATATCTACGGTGATGGCGACTACAAACTGATTGTTGCGGACGGTAGTCGGCGAATTAAGATGTTTAGCGGTACATCACTGGCAATGCAGCTGCGGTTGCTCTCTGTTCCATCTGCATTGACTACATTCTACGCCGAAAGGAGTGATGCTGTGGAGCGCCCAGTTGTGGCTGTTGCTTGTGGACCCTACATCTTTATGTATCGGAATATGAAACCCCTGTACCGGTTTACAGTTCCTGTAGTAGAGTTGGATGACGTGGATGTAGCTGTGTGGGATGCTCTTCGCAACGGCACTCTTCCCCTCACCGAGGCAACGGATATGTTAGAGGAGCGGCGCAAAAACGGTGTGGAGCTGTCGGCGCGTTCTACAGACCTTCTGGCTTCTGACAACTTGCAAGAGCGAGAGCGATTTGTAGAACGGACCAAGAATGAACCTCTTCGACAAATGACAGTTGTGGCGTGCATGGGTTCTCTATGGGTGGATCCCGGGGAGAATGGTCGCAGCTGTTTGGTTTTCGGCACAGAAGACCGCTATATCTATGTGCTGAAGAACTCTGCAATGGAGGTGCAGTTTAAAGTAAAGTTTCCCAGTGTCCCTGTTCAGATATTAACAGCGGGAGCATTACGGGTTCAATACCGCATTGTTGTTGCGTGCCGAGACGGATGCGTCTACTCCATAAAGAATGGGGATTTATCAGGCTCGGTTATTTTTCCAGATGGAGAGATAGTGCAGATTGCACGGTACGATAACCTTGTGGCTGTAGCAACAACGCGGAATACGTTGTCATATTTTAATTTGAAGGGCAAACGGCAGTCGTGTATTTTCCTCCCCCTTCCGGTAACAAACATCGTCACTATTGTGGAGAGCGCATCCACAAAAGCCCGCGGCATTGTTGTAGCACTCAGCAATGGGGCAATCCGCGTGTATGTAGGCAAGTCGCTGCTCCACGAGAGCCAGGCATACGGCTCGGTGACCGCTATGCACTACGGCCGTTATGGGCGCGAAGATGCGGCACTTATTCTCCTTTTGCAGAACGGTTCCTTAGTGGTGGAGATGCTCCATCGCCATGCATCCTTTGAGTGCGAAACGGAAGGCGAGGTTGGCCCATCTGCAGAGCAAGATGTGCCCATCCCTGTTCCGCCACTTACGAGCGTCTTTGTGGCGCAAGCAGAACGTGAGCGTACATACAGTGTAGACATGCACCAGTCGTTTCAGCGCGATCTCTGTCGTCTGCGCCTCAAAACTGCAAAGTCGTACCTGGGGTTACTTTCTGGTGGTGGTGGTGGTGGTGGTGGTAGTGGTGGTGAGACATCAGGAGTAGGTGGGTTGCCTAGTTACCGATCAGACAGCTCTCTTCGCATGCTCACCGCTGTGCAAGGCCTTGGTCCTGTTTTCAAGATTCAAATCACCCTCCAGAATGTGACCCAGAAACCAATGCATGATTTAACGATTATTCTGCGTTACCCCGCAGCCTCCTGCAAGGTGTCGAAGTCCATTATGGATGTGCCATTTCTGTTGCCCTCCCTTCTTTCTTCCTATGAGCTACTTGTAGAGCGTGTGGGTGAAGAGGTGATGAGTGACGGTGTGCATGTATGCGTCAGCAGCCTTGCCAATCCCGTGCCTCTGGTAGCCGCTATTGTAGAGTTACCGGATACAGGGATGATGGAAGAAGGTGTTTGAGTTCTGTGTAACGTTTTGTTGTCTCTTGACTGCAAATTTTCCCCTTTTTTTAGAAAAAAAAGGGGTGTGAGTGGGGGAATTAAATGTGTCTCTTTGCTTGTTTTTTTGTGCGTGCCCCCAATCCTTCAGCTGCAGGCACGCGATGCGTCTTTCCTTTGACCTCTTTTTTTTTTTTGCCTTCGACGCGTTATTTTCTGAGTGAGCTGCGCCAACAGTCACTGTGTGCCTCGCTGTTTTTTAACTACTGACGAAAGGATGAGCGAGAGTGCGGGCAAACCAGCACCCGAAGAGGCTGCAAGGGGTGAATGCACTGAGCGTAGCCTGCGAGAGGCTGAGCTGCAAGAAACGGAGCTGATTCGTAAAATGCTCTACACGTCGCCGCTGGATGAGGAGAGCACCGACGCAACGAAGGAGGAGACGACGCATGACACGGTGCGGCTCTCACGGGAGGCGCGTGATGAATTTGTCAAGGCGGCAATGCGGCCCATGAAGGAGAAAGTGGCGGAGTTCCGTGGTTTTGTGGAGCTTTTGGGCCGCCCACAGAATGGGCGCGTTGTGGGTGTGTTTCTCATCACCACGGCTGTGATGTTCACGATTCCCATTATCGTTTTGCTCATTGGCATGCACCTTGTCGCTCCAGCCATTGGGGCCGATGCGGGCGTGTGCGGCGGCTTCATGGCGCTGGGCTCCACCGTGATCATCATGGCCTCCTACGTCATCTACGCCTTTGTGGAGCCTGGCGCAGGTGCTGTGGAGGGGCGGCCAGCGGGGGACAAGAAGAATCAGTAGAGAAAAGGTCTTACTGAGAGAATCGGCTTGCACTTTGCTGCGTTGTGTCAAGTCTTCTTGTGATCTTTCTATCGGGCCACCTTTGCGCTTTGGAGTGTGTGTAGTTGTGTCTCTTTGAGCGAGAAGGGGGCGGAAGAGAAAGTGACGACATCCAATTCTGGGCGACGTGCCCGTCCACTACTGATGTTGTGAAGAAGGTGGGTGAAGTTGGTGAGGTGAGCCCCCCCCCCCCCCCNCCCCTCTATTTGTGCGGTGTGGTGTGGTGTGTTTTCTGTAGGCGAGGTTGGCCATTATTTTCCTCCTTTCGTTATTGTTATCCTTCTTCTCTCTGTCTCTTTCGTTATCTTGCTTCCTTGTTCATTCGTTGCTTTTCCTCAGTCTCCTCGAGGTAGCACGTTGCTCTGTTGTGTGGCGCCCACGAGGGGAGGAGGAAGAGGTCGAGGCAGCCATGAGTGAGTTTGACGCCGGTGCCAAGTACGGCATCTCGGCCGCCGTATACGTTGGACTTGTCTTGTTGTGGATGGCCTTCTCGTTCTTCTACGGGAAGATTGCGGACCGCTGCATGTCTAGCGGCAGCGGGCCGGAGAACACATATGGTGTGGAGATCTGACAAGGAGGAGGCCGCGCCCTGAAAGTCAAGATGGTCGCGAAGAAGTGTGGACGCAACGAAAACAAAACACGAAAACATCTTGTGATGCCTCGACGGAGGTATAAAAATCATGCTTCGCAACGGTCGTACTTCTGCCCATGACAACTCACATGCGTTGCACTCCTTCTCGTAGTCTGGTGTGCGAAACAGCTCTGCCGCTCAGTTGTTGTTGGCCTTTTTTTGCGCACACACAAAAATAAAACAGTATAAACTTGTGAGTTTCAGCGGCCTGCTAAAGTCTCCTGGTCTCCTCATGCTCGTGTAAGGTAGAGAGGCTTCTGCAAACTCAAAGAGATAGATCTCTTAATGAGGGAGTGCGTGGAGCACTCAAAGTGGCGGAGTATCGCTACCACCGCCAGTGGTATTATTAGCGGTCGTCACAGGCGTCGATCCTTGCGTCGACAAACAGCATTGTGCATATTCCTGATTTGCTCTATTGTTGCGATAACTGCAGTGCTACTGGTTTCGCACGCCTTTGATGGGAACGATAATGAACATGCTGTAAATGGAATGCGGGACACTGCCGCACATGAAGTGGGTGAGCGTAGGCGAGGGGGAGCCGCCGCCCTCACACCGCCAGTAAGGAGACGCCCCACGGGCGACACACAAGGGACTGGGCAACCGTCGTGTCCTGGGTTCCGCGAAGAAAGTTCCCCTGCGGCGTATTTCTGTGCGAATGGAGCGGCTAACCGCGCCCCCCTTTTTTCACTTCGCGAACAGCCACTTCTAGCGCCAGGTGAAGTGGGAGGTAAGGCGCTTGCTGTGGGAAACGCGCCGCCTGTGTGCTACTCGTCCAGAGGCGACCCTGTTGCCAGTCCAGTGTGGGCACGTGGCCTGCTACATTCATTGACAACAGGTGGCGCGTACGAGGCGGCCCTCTCGCTGCTGCGCCAGGACCCGTGGTACATGCTCATTGGATGGGTGCCAGGTAAGTTTCTGCCACCACAGAAGCCAGGTAGGAAGGCGAATGGCGACATAATGTTTCCACAGACTCGAGGGTCGAATGCGTCCTACTACCTCGAGACATACAGGAGCGTTTGGCATACGGAGTTCGAAGTAAAGAACATGCGCTTTCATTTTCAGTTAGTTCATCGCAACGCGATTGCGGTGTGTGTGCGTGAGCGTATTCACCTTCACAAGTACTATTGCCTTCCTGATGCTGGAGTAAGTCCGATCCCTATTCACGTCTGTGCATGTCGCCACTGCGTTGTACCCACGGAGACAACTGATTTGAGTCAATTGGTTTCTATGCAGAAGAGGTTTCCTGATATAAAAGAACCTGCGTTGATTGAGAAGGCTACAACTGTTCACTTCCTTCCGTCCTCGATCAACGCGGCAACAGTTGCGTCATCACCCTCTGAGAGAGAGAATTGCATTGGTGCGCTTGAAGCTCCTTGGCTAATTAACACATCTGTGGTTGCTGCCTTTCCGTATGAGGAAAAATACAACGATCTGGATAGTATGCTGGCCTCTCAGGCAGATGCAAACGGTATAGTCACAATGGTGGTATTTAATAGCTTCTGGCGCGATCATCTGCATAACTTCGTCTACAGCTTCACAAGGAAAGCAAAAATGCTCAATCTGATTGTTGCCACTCTTGATGACAAGGCATTGTTGTTGTGTTTGTCGTTTCGTTTGCCGTGTCTAAATGCGAGCAAGTTTGCTGAACAAGAGGACACAGTTGCCTCTCAGAGGCAGGGCTTTACTCGCAAAGTCACCGAGGAATTATCTTGGGTGAAACCCCGTTTAGCGATTGCGGTGCTTCGGCGTGGATACGCCTTTGTGCTCGCGGATCTTGACATGACGTGGAATCTCTCCCCGATGCGGCGACTTCTGGAAGGTCGCTTCGATATCGTGCACCAGTGTGACTCAAAGTCTGCCCTCAGCATTAACTCTGGATTTTACATGGCACGTCCCAACCAACGTACACTAAGGTACTTTATCGATATGATGTCTTTTCGCACGGACGAGAGTGCAGATCAAAACGCCATGCGGCTATTCATGAAATATGACCACGTTCACGGTGTCTCACATCAGTGTCTGCCTCCGTGGGAGTTTAACATGAAGTGCAACTACAAGGTGGAGCGTTCAGTTGCGGTGGTGAATGGACATGAAACATTTCGGTGGAAGCGCTACCCGTTGAACGAGGCTCCAAAATGGATAATGATGCATGCCACCTGTCTCTCTGGTGCTCGAGACAAGATCCGCTACTTCAAAACCATAAAAGCATGGTTTCTTGAGGAGCTTGATGAAATGACGGGGTCGCCGTCGTCACCAAAACCGTTTTGTGTTATTCTGCCTGCAGCTGTAAAGAATAGTGCGGGTGGCGGAGGCGATGTCGTGTACAATGTGTTTGGGACGACCCCTCACAGTGATCTATACGATGAAATGGCACCAGACTCTACTTACCTGCAGGACAGACATTAGTGCTTCGCTCGCTCTGTCGTGTGGTGAGAGATATATGAGAAGGCCGCATCATGTAAGAATGTGCTTTCGTTACTGTTTTTTTGTTGTTTGTTTACTGTGTACGTATTCTACAGAGATGCCCTTCCATGTGTAAGGGTGAGTATGGGTGTCTGTGCGACTGTGCGTATGACATTAGCCCACACCACACACACACACACACATGCATACTGACACATACGCGTGGTACAAAAGGGGGAAAAAAAGATGCATACCGGCTTCTCGCAACGTTGTGATTCGTGAAAGCCACAGCGCCAAGAAGACTAGAGACACGCACAACTCCAGTCAAGGTGTGAAGAAGGAGTGTGTAGCTTCCTAGGCGGAAGCCGAAGAGGATTATAGTTAAGAGCGGATTGCATATGTGCAGCAGTGGCTTTCTCTTTTTTTTGTGTTCTGGGGGTGGGTTGTACTGGTGGAAATGGCAGATTTGATTAAGTCCCCATTTGCTCTCCTTTTTTGTTGTTCGTTGGGTGGCTGGGTGGAAGGAGTAACAGGTGTTTTTAGGTAGCATAGATGAGGAACTAAACCTGTGATACGTAACACATCCCTTTGAGAGAAATTGAATGCATTTATTCCCGCAGGTAATTTCGAAATTGCATCATTTCGTTTCTTAACTGATTAGGCCACGACGTTGTCAATGAGGGGGTGTGAACGCCTCTTCAGATTGACACTCTGTTACGTGTCATTGAGTGCTCGTTAACTGGCGTCGTTCTGTATGTTATGATTATTTCGGCATGTTGAGTTGTTGTTGTTTTTCTTGTTGTTCATCTCCGTGGGTAGTCGCTTAAGAAAGGGTAAGGGTAGCTGGTGCCTTGCATGGGGCTAGAACTTGCCCTTATTTAGTAATTGCCACCTGAACGTATCGCCAATGTGTGTTGCCTCAAGAAGAGGTGTGAATTGCTTTGCTAGTGGAGTTCGGCTTCAACATCGCGCGATGAAAGTTGATGAAATGGGAAGCACCCGTGATAAGATGGTATTGCCGGCAGTGTTTCGTCGTCCGGCGGCAACGAGTGCATCTCCGCGGGCGCATTCTGTGCTCACCATATGGTGATACACCTTGCATCGTGGCATTGCTAGCCGCAGCGGCAACAGTAGCGGTTTCATGGATAATGACATTTGGTTTTTATTATTAGAAGTACAACGATTGTGGGGTGTGGAAAGCGTTGCAGCTAGATCTGAAGTCCTTCAAGTTTGATCAACGCCAGCGTACTTCCATCACGGATGCATACGATTAGCCGGCGCGTATCTGCAGCCCAATGTGAGTGCTCATCAGTGGCTTGATCAGAGAGGATGGGCTCTGGCACAGGGATACGTGCAAAGCATCAGTGAAGGCTAGGCAAAAAAAGAGGTAAAAAACACAGCATGCGATCTTGCAGCTAGAGGCATGACGTTGTGTTTCTGTGTGGGGGGAGGCGCTGCGGAAGCGTGGT